CTGAACTGTTCCTAAAATACAATGTCTGAGGTATTTGTCTCTAAGAAAGCTGAGTTTTTGTTGCTGAAGAATAAATTTTGAACTGCTGCTGAAGGTGTTTGGAACTTCTCTTTGGCACCTTGTTATTATAGGCACATAAAATGTAGACGAGTGGGACTAGGTAGCAGATGATGAAATTAAAGTTGATTAAAGTCTGTTTGTCAAAACCCTGTTTTTTCCCTTGTAGAATGAATTCTACATGAAAAGGTAGGAAGGGAAAAATAAAGGTAGAGCTTGAGGTAATTTGGGGTATCTTGTTCATGAATTGTCCAGTGCAACACAAAAGAAATCTTACAGCTGCTAGGAATCTGACCTGGTGCCCAGAAATGTGTAAAAGCACAGCTGGCCCTGTCTGGGCTGCAAATCAGCTTTAACACTAATGGCAACAACTTTATTTCAAGAGAGTATTTAGCTTCAAAAAATGAATAGGGCTGCATGTTCCAAATGTCATCTGTCAATTTAACAAATGGCAACTATATACACATCTTAATGCCAGATTGCTGTTTCATTAGGCTCCTTGTGAGTTATTCCTTCTTGGTAGCTGGCATTATTCTAGCTGGAGCAGCAGAAAGGCAGGAGGGAAGACGCTCCTCGCCGCTGCGATGCAGAGCAGCTCCTGGCTGCTTCCCAGGGGGCAGCAGGAGAGGGATGAGGGTGCAAAATGAAAATAAGGCAGGGGAGAACAGCAGGGGGGTGTGTTCCGCGGTGCAGCCGAGTTAAGGCCCGGACACAGAGAGTCTTGGAGCTCAGTCTGTGCTGCAGCCCCGGCACACCGGCAGTGCTGAGGGCTGTGAGCCCGAGGGTGGTCTGAAAGCTGCAGTGAGCAGGCAGGCGGCTCCAAACCGAGCACTTGTAGCTCTGCCGCAGAGGATAAAGGCAGATCCAAGGCTCGCAGGAACGAACAGATAAACTCCCAGCGCAATATGCTGGAGTGAGTGAGTGCTGAGGGAACAGCCATGGCATGGGGTGAAGGTAAAGATGGGCAGGAGTCTGGGCTGTCCTGCTTTGCCCAGCTCCAACCCGCTGCAGTGCCATTTCTGAACTGTCCTCTGGGGCACAGCAGCACTGCAAGGACTCTCTGCATCAATAGGCCAATCCATAGGTTGATTCTCCCTGAGCTGCAGTTGCCCGCACCAAAGATGTCAGATTTCCCATGCAGTGGAAATGCTTCTGAAGTGTCCTACTTTGTAAGTAATCAAAGTTTTGTGGCTACCATGGCTGAGAGCCTTCAGCCCTCCCCCTTATTACTGGTAGCTCAAGGATCCTTATGGATCCAGGATGCTTATGGAGCACCCTGACAGGATGAACACATTGGAATATTTACAAGTGCAATAAACAGGTATAGTTTTGAATGACTCATTCAGGCTGCTGCCAGTGCAAGTGCTGCACAGCATGACTGGAAAGAGGTTGCAGAGAGCAAGAAAGGACTTATTTTCTGTCTCCATGGCCAGGTAATAGCAGGCTGGTCAATACAGGACAGGGGGCTCCCTTGCCAAGCAGCTCTGAATGCACAGGTGAGGCACAGCACAGAAGGGCACCCAGGTAACTTTGTTCACAGGATAAACTGACTTTGTTTGCTTGTACCTCAGCATCCAGGGCAGCTCATGCTGGGATTCATAAACCATGAATGTGAACCATGGGTAATGTGAACCACTCTTCCCCATCCCATGGCATTCCCACTAGGAATCTGCTTCTCCTCAGAAGTCTTGCTTGCTTAAGGGTGAGGAGCTCAGCAAATGAGCTGCTGCATTCAGCACCTTGCTGGAAAAATTTTGAGAGGGGAAAATTGTGTTGGATCCTCACAGAGTGCTGGCACAAGTGCTGACACATCTGTGCATGGGCAGTGGAGGGTTCTGCTGGAGAGTTAGAAAGTTTACCAGGAGTCCAGCCTCCTACCAAACCTCTCCTGCTCAAACTAGCTAATAATCAAATTGCCTTTTTTTTTTCTTTTCTTTCACAAAAAGCAGGTTTTGCGAGGAGATGGAACACAGTTACTTGTCTTCATTTTACTTCAACTGTGTGGAAAAAGTTGGCAAGCTTTTGAACTTGATGTCCCTAAGGCTGGATGTTGAAGATCTTGCCTGTTTTTTTCTGACTGTCATTTGGCTTAATAGAAGACGTTGCCCCTCCCTACAAACCTTGTTTCTCTTTCACAATGTGACTGCACAGATAATGGCTGTTGTTTATATCCTCCCAAACTAATGGCTGTGATGGCTACCTCTGAGGCTTGAAAGGAGAAAGTAGGAATTGAGTAATGGGAAGTGTTCATTTTTACTGCACTGCCTCCTTGCATGCAGAGAAAGCTCTCAGGGTTAAAGTGCCATGGCAAAACTTGCCCCACAGGTAAATGCGAAATGCTGACACCAGAAAAATCAGTGCCCCTCCAAGAACACTACAATCTCAGTCATCATTTCAGAAGCTGTTCCTACTTTATCCAGCAAGACAGCAGACACAGGCGCCACAGCAACTGAGGACAGTGCACCACTGCTCAGGCAGAAATCAGAGACGAGCCCGAGTTTCTGCCCCTGGCAGAGCCCTTGATTTTATTTTATCCCCTACCCCTCCCCTACCCCCACGCCCCCTGTTTCTTTTTTTAAATCACTTAGATTTTTAAAAGACAAAAGGAAGGCACCATGTGAAAACATCACTATGGAAACATCACAGGCTCGCTTGCACTTGCCTGCCAAGCAACTACCTAACTGAAGTTTTACATCCTATTGGATCACTGTTGGCCATCTGCTCTCCTTCAAACTTCTCTGAATTCCATATTTTCCTGAAAAGTTCATTTTTAGAAAGGAGAGAGGAGGAGGCAAAGGGAGAATCCAGTATTCTTGGCTAGTGCAGAGCTATTGTGAAAAAGGAAGATAAACTCACTTTGGAGCAGCCTCTTAAAAGACAAAGATCCATGTTTTGTGAAGTAATTTCATAGAAAATACCTTGTTTCTAGATGCACTTTAATGATAAGAGTATAAATTGGCAGCCACAAGGCAAAGCACACAAACAGCTGCTTCTAGTACTCTTGCACTAATTGTCGTCCTCTCCCTTTCTCTCCCTTTCTCTCATTTAGCCTCAAATGTATTTTCTTCTAAAATGTAACAGTTACTGCCTACACTGGAGTTGTTGGCTGCAGGCTCCACAGCCTTGCTCCAAATAAAACACAGAAACAGATTTCCTGCCAAGCACTGAGGAAGTTTGAAGACTTTAGTTTTTAAAAATATAATCTTTTTATCAGTGCCCTAAGCCTGCCAAAGGTAATTATGGGCCATGGTGCATTTACATTAATGCATAGGACCTACAGACATTTCAAAAGCCTAATGGAGAAACTCTATAAATGTACGTATCGAAAAACAAATTAATTAAATTAAACTGTCATGTAAAGATATCACTTAATTTTGCAGAGCGGAAGGCACTCTTAATGGGAATGGAATGGATCAGTGAGCATTTCAAAACCCAAAGCTATAATTTAAATTCAGGCTCTCCTCTAGTGTGCAAGTCACAAGACATATTTATTATAGCCTTGGATTGTCAATTGTAATCGGTTTAGCAGAGACAAAGCTGTATTGTTTTGCTTCCTGCCCTCCTAGCTGGTTCAATATATTTTGATGTCAGACTATTGACAAGCAAACCAAAGGCTGAAATAAAATCATGTTTACCTGTAATGAACTGGCAAAAATGCAGTCCAAGGTAAATGTAACCCTGAAGCACAAATGCTTATTTATCAAGCAGCAAGGGGAAAATGGTGAAGCATTTAAACTTTCTTTAAATAAACCAACCAGCTGAATCTATTTACTGCTGCTCTTGAGTCCTGCTATGTGGCAACCTACAAACAAATAGATAAAAATAAATAAAAGCACTGTGAAAATGAATAGCACCATTTATATGCTGCTGTTCCTGAGTTTTCCAGGTGTCAGTAACAATTAAAGTTGTTGCTCTTCACACTCCTCTAAAGCTAGAGCCAAAGCCTGACACCAGGTCCCCAGCAAACAGACAGCAATACTTCCTCCAGGATGTGCAACCCAGTTTGCTGCAGGATTTCACCTGGTAGCAGCAGTTCCAAACCCAGCCTGTGTTTCTGCAGCCATGAGCAAGCATCTTCTCATTGAATTAGCCTCCAAGAACGGTTTGATTCTTTTCCTAACATTCTTTCTGTATTCTCTAATTCTTTTGTTAACTTCACTTTCTGATGCAAAGCACTGAAACCAGCCAGCTCATCAGATTATAATTGTCATGGCTTCCTCTTGCCTTTTTTCCAGCCCCTGTGTGAGCTTAGTCACAGAGAGGTTTCTCTGAGCCTGAACTTAGAATCTTCTACCCAGGAGCTCTGTAATTTCTTGTGGATCTCTCAAGTTTGCAAATCTGACTCTAAAACATGGTGACAAGCTCAAAAGTCATGGTTAGGCAGAGCTGTGGCACAGCAGGCTGGGACACCTGCTTGAGGCACACCTCTGAGGGCAGGGGCACAGGAGCAGCCTCCCGGGCTCCTGCTGCACGGCGGCACGGCCATTGGCAGGGAGGGAGGAGAGCACGGCCCAGGGAGCAAGGAGCAGCCAGCTGCATGGCTCTGAGGAGTGGCTGGTGTTCACACAGCAGCTAATTTGTTTATTTCATAAAAGCACTCGTGTATCTGCATTTGTTCTTACTTGGCTAAGTAGCAGGATTTTCAGGTGAATGGGTTCCATTTTTGCTTCCAGTGTAATCTTTCAGCAGTTTGCTCCCCAAGCTAATTATTATGCTAAAATGACTCGAACCCAACCAACCAACCAACCAACAAAGCAAAAACAAACCCCTCCCCCCATCCAAATTTGCCTCAATACTAGGCCATTTTTCTTTTGATTACACATTACAGTAAATGTGTAAAGAAGTATCCTTTATAACCTTTCTGAAAAATGACAGTTTTTATTGTGCTACACTATTTTTCTTCCATGCCTCTGTTCCAAGATGCACATTATTAGCCTTGATTACTCTCAAAAGAAATTTTTATTTTTCTCATCCTCTTCAGCCTCTTTTGACTTTGCACAAGACTCAAACTGTTTATTAAGTGACAGGTTACCACTGACAAAATATTTTGTTCCAACTTAAGGGTTGAAAAATTGGACAAAGCTTTTAAAATGTGTTTTGTCCTACTACCAGTAATCTTTCTACTTATTTACATGGCTCCTACTGTCACACATGTTCCAATAACAACATCCTTCTGAAGGCAATGGGAAAGGAAAGTCCTCATAGCCCCACTGAAAAAGAAACAATGTTGAGAGATTTAGGTCCTGGCTCAAAACAGAATGAAGGCTCCAATTCCTACTGTCACTGATCAGTGACGAGCCAGATGTCTGATGTCTTTAACTTGGACTTCAGTGATTTCTTCAAGGTATAAGAAAATTAGGGTGCAGCTGAGATGTGAATATATCTATAGTGATAAATTGCCATCTTCTATCACCAGCCAAATACCATAAACACAAGCATGCCTGTTTCTTTCCAATAAAGCCATCCCAGTCATTAAAAATGGTCTTTTCCTAAATAGTTTTCCAGCTTAGCTGTCTGGTTCACAAGCCCTTCGAGCTCTGAGGCAGATTAAATCTACAAACACAGTCATAACTTTTGTTTATGGAATGGCAAGGACTCAAAGATAGCTCTAAGTAATGGTCAGGAGAATAGGATAGGCTACTGACATCAGTTAAAGGCTTAAGGCAAAAATATTATTTCTAAACTCTGAAAATAGCTATTATGGTAAAAACACTTCTTTCCCATGTCATTTTGTAAACATTGAGTAAAAACATGAAATACAAATTGAAAGTTATTAAGAGCAATGGTGACAAAGTAATGCTTTTAATATTCTTCTTAAAAACACTTTTGAAAGTATTTATTTGAAATAGCTAAAAAATTTAACTGTATTCAGTTTTGATAGTTACAAAATTTTGAACACTCTTCTGCATAAAACAAAAAAAGCTACAGCATTTCTCAAATTTCTGAGTAACAGCCAAATAAACTACCAACAATTTCATCCTTCATGTAAGTATCCACTAAGAGGTACACAATCAAGATTGAACCGTACTTGTATTCTTAATTCATTAGTGGAACTTGAAGGCCCTCTTCTGGATTATAAATTACTGCATGGCCAAGCAAAGTACATGGAAATGACAAAGCCAACCAGCACTATGAAAAGATAAGTGTCTTAAATATATTTTATTCATGTTATTACCAACTTCATTTCTGGGTTTTCACTTGTATTTGCCCATTTTGGTTACTATAATTTAGTATAAAATTATTATATATGTGTGTGTATATATATATACACACATATATATATATGCACACTAATATATATACACACACATATATATATGCACACTAATACATATACACACACACATATATATATATACACACAATATATATATATATATTTAGTATATAATTTTTAGAATTTAGGAGCTCAGAACAACTTCTGAGTAGTGGATTCTTAAAAATAAAGTATTTATTATACTGATATTCACAAGAGGAGTAGACAGGCTAAAGAGAGTTGTGGAGAGTTTCTCCACAACTTTGTATGAAGGTGCTGTGCAGGCAAGTGATATTTGTTTATCCTTATTAAGCAACAGCAGACACAAACAGACATGTGATTGTGTGTATGTCCCTGTCTACACAGATATGTGACTTTAAAAAATTACCTTTGAAAATCTAGCTTATGCTAAGGTAGAAAAGAATGAGGAAACATTTGCAATTGTCCTAAGTCTTTGAGGATTGTACAATTCCTTTATATGCCTTTTGAATAAATATACACACAGACTGTAAAGGACTTACAAATGTAACCTTCCAAGAGAGTTACTTGCTTGCGTAAGCAAACATTTGCTATTGAAAAGCTTTTCCACACATAGAAGGAAAAAAATATTCTAGAATGTGAAGCACCATTTTAATGGATCTGTCTGTAAACAAGTGGACTTGAACCACCAATTTTCCTCTTTCTAAAAACAGCCATTTACTCTTTTGTTTTGTCATGATAACAAGAAGTCATAAATAAAGAAATGCAGGAACAGATACTAAGTATCCTATTGGTAAAAACTCTGTAGAGAAAATTAAAACATAGTTTGTTTGAACTGCACATTTAAAAAAGCAGCATGCTGAAGAAACCTTCACATATAATTTTTTGGTGTGCTTCTGTGTCCCACCAGGGTAGGGCTACTGACGACGATCCTTCTTCCGTACTTTGGATTTTGGTGCTGCCAAGAAACAGCAAAGGAGAAGAATCATCAGAAGTGAATTACAGTAATTCCAGTGCCAACATTCTTTTGAATTAGGTTGGGATCAAAATGGATGCATTAATGTAAAACCTACCATTGGGATTTTCTTGCCTGTAAAAAGCTTTTAACAATTCCACTGCTTCTTCAGCACGATAGCCAGAAGAGCACTGTTCAAATCAGAATGATGTTAGTGAGCACATCTGAGAATAACGTATTCCATGCTTCACAATAATGCCTTGAGTACAGAATAATTTTAAACAACTGTACTGTCAACTTGGGGTCAAAAAAAATCTCTTTTTCAGGTTTAATACTTAATACATTTAAAAAACACTATGTTGTGGCTTAATAGAATAAGTAATTTTCCTAATAACTTAGGTAAAACAAAGTTTCTTAGTAAATTATGTAAAAATTTTATGCAATCTACAATTTCTTTTTTATTAATGTGTTTCCAGCCTCCTATACAACTCAAGCACTTGGAAACATAAGAGACATACATCTAGGTATTTGCAGATAAGATTCCTGACAAAACACTTATCCAGATATCTATTCTTTATTCCTAACAGTCACCTTTTAGATCTTTTGGGTCCTTCTAAAATACTTTTCTATGCCATGAACACTAATGACAAAGCATTTAAATGTCACTCACACTAAATAAATCTCCACCCATGCTAGAAAATAAGTATTTACTCCTATACATTCCAGTTGCCTACAGAAACAAAAGATCAAAACAAAAGAAACTTCTGTCTTCTGAATGTATAAAATAATGAAATACCACATGCCAGTATTAGCAAATGAACACTCTTCCAGTACTGAACTGCACCAATTAATTCAGATGTTGGTCTCACTGACACACTGACAGAAAGATGCCTAATATGTTTACACTGGAGTGCCAAACATTATTGTTTTCCTGACTAAAATTCTTTGAGCCTTGAGCCTTTAGTGCTTATTTACAATGCTGAAATACTTTATTTGTTTTTGCATTCATTAAATCATTAATGTGAAATGTGGAAAAGAACTCCAGGAATCAGTATCACTGTATAAGGCAAGATCATGTACAACTGTGAATAATGTAATAAATAAAATGCCTCTACATGTAGGTATGGGTACATAGGTAGTATCACATTGTAAAGCACCTGGATTTATTTATATTCTACCTCCACTGAATGCTTATCCAGCCTTTCTCACGTAACAAAGATGCCTAAATCACCCCAGACACTGTTCAGTCTTTCTGTATCCCTACTATTCAGAAAGTTTCTTAATACCTAAACTGAATTCCCTCTGCTACTGTTGCAGTTCAGATTTATTTTGGGATCTGAACTACACAAAGTAAGTCTAAGCTAATACATTTTACCTCATAAACACACAGACTGAAAACAAAAATACAATCGTTTCCAGTGGCTCAGCTAAAACCCAGTAATTTTATAAGTTGCTGTTACTTGATATTTATTGATTATGTGTTTGTACATTCTGCAGCTTAAAATAATTTTCCCTCATCTCTTCCTGTAGAACTTACTGTTCTAAGTATTACACGTATTTTAGATATATTTAATTTTTACCTTGTTCCACAAGCATAATTCTTTCCCTTACCCTTTGACACATCCTTTTAAATAATTTAATACTGTCATCAGGGTTTCCTCAGTTTTCTTTTAAGACCTAACTTTTTTTACATTATTTTCTGATTAGGCCAAGTTTACTTGACTTTGATCATCTTCCATCTGTGTCCTCTTAAAGCGATGCATAACATTCTAAAAGCCTGGTAGCAAAGCCAGTCACAGTACCATAGCTGGAAAACAAAGGGAAATGTTTTACAGCCTACTTCAAATGGGTCTCCTGAGTCCACCATATCATCAGACGAGATGCTCAACACGGAGCCACAGCCTCCAAATCGCTCATTTCGACAGCCATACACGACACGTGGAATTTATGGGAGTGAGTCAAGGTATTAAGTGAAAAACAAGCAGGAAGTACAGAAGCCTGATCTAGGCAGTCATCAGATTTCCTAAAATGTACTTGTACTCTTCAAATTAAATTAGCTTGAGCTACAATTCCTCCCTCATAAAATCAGAACTCACTTTTGAATGGTGTAAGATGTATTGCTGAAGATGCACATCCTGCCTTTCTCAGAAAGGGGGAAGCAAGAATCCCCAAAGCAGGGCATACAAAGGCATGGTTTACTGATTGACACAACATTCAAAACTGAACACAGAACTGCACTTAGCTCATTTTACATCCTAACAAACATCTCTAAAATGTATTTTTAATCTCTAACAGTTGTTTGTCATAACTGCACCATCTCTCTTTCACTCGAGTCCCTCGCTGTTCATCATGGAGGTGGGTGCAGACCCTCAAACCAGCCCTCCTGGTTTTCCCTGACACTGTCCAGACTTTCTTTGTGGGCTCAGTGTGGAAGAAGCAATGGTTTGACAGAGTTTCCCAGAGTGAGTCAGCATGAAAGGATACTCATCAAGCACAGGGCAGCTGCACACATGATACAGGGCTCTACAGTTACGTACAGCACCAGCTGCGGAAACACCTCCCTGTAATCCCTCTTGTGTTGCTTGCACCACTCAAGGACCTGGTCGATTGCCACCATTTCTGCGTGTCGAGTAGCCTAGAAGATAAAAATAAGTATTTTCTTATTTTGCATTTATTCACTTTTGTTATAGAAGTAATATAACGCTCTTTGCTGGTTCAAGTTGCAAAAGAAATTTTACAGCACCCAGACTGCAGAAAAAATACTCAATCCAAGTAAGAAAATATTTAACCCCAACCTCTTGTGTGTAGCACACAAGATCTACAAGTGACAGATTTTTCTTCTACTTTTTCCAAGACAGAAGAGCATGCTCAGAAGTTCTCCTCTCTCGGTCATGGCAGCACAGTAAGACAAGACATGAAAGCTCTGCTTGAGTCTTAAGGGACACACAAAGCTCACTGGCACAACTGATGTAGCCCATAGCCTGCTCTACTTCCATTTCTTGCTTTGAATCTTGGATTACTTTCTCTGGAAATATTAAGAAAGTGCTCGTCACTGGTACCTTTTCCTCTCTCTGACAATATTCCTGTGCTCACAAGGAATGAATACACTATGAACAACAATTTCAGCATGTTTCTACAACTGCCTGGTGTGCTCTGTACACACAACATTTTCAGTTTGCCTCAGGTTTAATTCTGCCTGGGGATACATGAACAGTAAGTCCCTCATGTAACAGGCTGGGATTTCAGCATGTGACTGATTACAAGAAGACAAAGGAATATTAATTTCTTTTTTTTTATCCAAGAGAACTAATCTCAATATCTATGGCACAAAAACCTGAACAGAAGTGTTGATTTTAATAGAATAGAGACCAAAACAATCAGTAATAACCCAGTACCACTCTGAAATGTCTGCAGCACTGTGTTACACCAATGAAATGTCACAGCAAAAATTTCAGGAAGTACTAGTTTTGAGAGGACTCTTCATTTAGATCCTCATGCTTATTTAAATTAAGACTGTAAGTTTTTTCCTTCCTTTTATATCTGTTCTGTTTTATATCTGAAAAAAGGATGTTTTTGACACAAGCATTAGAGTAAGACTTAATCAATTCAGATTATATTTGTACTTCTGTTTTGTATGTCCTTATGATCCCTGATAGCTTCCTCTCAAAACATGAACTTGGCTTAATATTTTAGCACTGTGAAGATCTGTGGTGATAACACTGAGATGCTCTGCAATACATAGCAAAGGACTCATAACTTACTGCTATGTTTAATGCTGTTCAAAAACATTTGAAAACTCCTAGAAAGGCCATGCAGCTGCTGCAGGTCCTACCAGCTTCTGCAGTAATATAAGACAGCCACACAAACAAGATTACACTAATATGGAACATTACTATACACCTGTGTACCCATATCTCAAGTAAAATGCACTGTTTTGATCATGTCATGTCCTGAACACACAGGAACATCAGGACAAATTCACCTCGGGGTGAGAAAGGATTATCCAAGTCACAGAACAGTCTCCATTTAGAGACTAATTAGACTGTGGCTCTTAACAGATACAGTCATTAAGTTTTCCAAGTTAAGAGAACTACAGTAGAGGGTTCTAAAATAATCAAGAAAAATGTGGAAAAATCACAGTTATAACTGATTTATTATTTCTCATAATAAGTGAGCACCCAATGAAATTATCAGGCAGCAGATATAAAACAAACAAAAGGAAGTATTCTTTCATAAATTACATAATTATATTGTGGAACTCATTGCCACAGGATGCTATGGAAGCCAAAAACATAAATGAGTTCAAAAAAGGTTTAGACAAATTCGTGGAGGATATGTGCATGGACAGCTATCAGAAACAATGATCCAGATTTAGTCTTGGAAGCTGGAAATCCCTAAGCTATTCACTTTCAAAAATGGAAAGGATGTACAAGGGGAAGGTTTACACTTTTTTTCCTGAGCTCCCTCCTTACACAACCTATTAAAGGTCCATCTTAAAGACGAGATAAAAGGGAAAAACTGACTTCTAAGTCTTTCTAGGTCTGTCTTAAGATGTTGTTTTGTATTAAGCTATGACTAGATAGCCTTTTTTGACTTGCTGTGTATAAAGTAACAGACAAGAGGGATTACTTTAAGTTTGAATCACTGATTCAATTCATAAGCTTAACTTGCCAAATATTACACACTATTTTAAAGCCAAGAAAGCAAAAGCGGGTTAAGAGTAGCAAGGGAAAATCAGAATTGCTACAGAGTGGCAAATGGTGTATCAAGGGGAAAAAGCTGACTCAGTGGGGTAAAAGCCTTGACAGTGCCCCGAACTGTGGCAAACGTTTCACAGACAATAAAAGTATCACCACTGCCCTAAAAAGCTAACTTTCTAAATTTTAGACCATAATTAACAAGTGAGAGTAAAGGGGTCCAAAGCTCAACTTTCTCTGTTATTTTGTGGCTTCACTACACAAGCAATACTTCATTTTCAGTTATCCCCTACTGTGCCTGCAAGACGCTTGCTACAATGACCCAACAGAATAGAACAAAGAGGAGATGTCTGTGTGTATCAACAAAGCACCTAAGACAAAGAGCATTTTACTGGAAAGTGAATTATTTGATCACATGCTGGAATAAAGATGCCAGAAAAAAACATTTCTAGATTGGAAGGGTCACATTTGCTGTAAGGGAGAAAATTTTCAGACTGGTCTGAGGCAAGACTGTGAACCAGCAAGTGTGGGAGCTGCCAGAGGGAACACAGCACTGGCACACACTTGTGAATGAATCACCAGGCTGTCTAAACCCAATGTCTTACACAGACATTTGCTGCACTGTTACCCAAGGAAGACAAGTAGTGTCACGTCTATTTTGAAATGCTGATGCCACAGCCATGCTCCTAAAAAAATAAAATAAACCAAACACAGCTGTAGACAAACTCCCTTCTCCCAAAAGCAACTTCTCCCAGAAGAATGCAATGATCAGAACTTTTGCAAATAACTTCAAGAGTAAGCAGCAGTATTTCTGACATTAATGTGTTCTGCTGTGGACATGGCAGGCAAAAAAAAACCAAACAAACAAAAAACAACAAAACAAAAACAAACACTAAAACAAAGAAAAATCCACAAACAAACTGACTAACAAAACAAAAACAAACAAACAAAGATGCAGGGTGGCAAGAGATAGCCGGAAAACACCGGAATTTTGGCAACTAAATTTTTTTGCCAAAATGACCAGTTTAGGAACATAATGAAAGAGGGCATAAAGAAGACACTACCAGCTCCTAAATTTAGCCCATTACATCAGAGGATGCAGGGACCTGCTTAAGGAGAAGACAGAATTTGCTGGACAAAAGGCCCAGAGGCAAGCTAATTCCTGACCAAAGGCAGAATTGCAGGGAAGGACTGAAGATCCAATTGGATAAATGATCACTTCTTCAAAGCAGGAACAAAGTTTTTGTGAAGTTAAAAAGTCAGTATGTTAAAAAGCTGCATTTTGGAGGCCAGAAAGCTGCCAGTGTCATAGCAACACTTTAGTGCATCAAGGCAGAGCAAACAGAGTCACTTTAACATAAACAAGGAAAGATAGGTGCCATACAATCCTGACACCTATAGATCCAGAAAAGACTCAGTAGCAAAGCAGGCAAGATAACAAACCTTTGAAAGTAGTGTTATAAGGGCTAGTCCTTATAAAAGGTAAATTAAACAAAAAGCCATTAAGATAGCTGAGACCAAATTAACCTAGTAACTTTCTTTGACAAATGTTTTTCTAGGCAAGAGAAACATCAGTCTCTCTTCTGGACATCTCCAGTGCATCTGGCACACCACAACCTGTGAAATTACTGTGAGTGGGGAAAACAGCCTAATGCAAGGAATGTAAGGTGAGCAAGAAAAGAAGAGACATTGCATTGACAGGGGAAATATTTGTCCGGAGGGAACTCATTACCATAGACACTCAAAGATCATTTGGCTTAAATGTTTTCAGTTGTGTCACTGGCATTAACTCGACAAACCCCAACAGAAAACAGCTCATGATGTGATATCTTTTGTATGATGAAAGACATCAGGACAAGTGACAGGGAGAGATTGTCATTCAGGAGGTAGATGGCCTTCTAGACGGGAGTAAAAAAATTTCAAAACAACAAATGAAGAGTAACAAAGAGCATAAAAGACCAAGGAAGCTCCAGAAAACATGGGTGGACTTTCTTCCAGGGACAATGTGAAGTACTATTGTAATCAAACAAAGCACAAGTCCATCGGGAATAAAATTCCAGTTAAGTGTTCTTAAGAGTTCTGGTTAAGTGAATTCAAGAAAAAATGAATAAAAGCTGGAATGGCTATGTGAAAGAATTATTCTAATGAACACAGAAAGCCAGCCTGTCTTCTGAGAGGAAATTAAACAGCTGGCTTGAGAAAAACAAAAGCTGAAAAGGAATAAGACTTTAAATACATCCAAGCTATGTAAAATAATGGAAGGTGCTGGCACAAGAACAGGGAGATATAAGCAGAACATAAAAAGTTTGAAACTGGAAATCAGACATTTTTTAGCCATCTGAGGAACGATGTTCTGGAGAAGTCCTTCAGTATAAGATGGGGCAATAAATTAGTTTAAATTTATGATGTCTGCTGGAACTGCCTCAATGGTTCAAGAGGATTGGTTTTTTTTCCTCCAGGATGGTCCCTAAATAATGCCTGAAATCGTTAGGAGAAAACTGAAAACAATTTCCTACGTTCACATTTCATAACAAGTACTGCTTTCAAGCTTAGATTTTTTTTTTTTTAGACTACATGGAGCAATTATATATCTGATAAAAAATTTAGAAGCACTAAGTACCCAGCATTTCCAATCACTATAATATAAACATTTATGAAAACTGAGCCACAAAAGAACCAAAACTTGAGCTGAGCAGCAATTCAAAAAAAGCTTGGGTTTCAGAGATATTAACAGATTACTGTTTCCAAAATCCAGCTGATTTTTTTTTTTTTTAAATCAGGCTACTCGCATTTTAGTATGTACCTTCCGACAGCCCTGACACCAAAAATGCCTGAAAGCTTCCCTGACATTTTTAAGTTGATTTTGTTTTCAGTCTTGTCAGTTATGTCCTGTCTGTTCATTAACACATGATTTCTACAGAATATTACTATCCCTGGCATGATTTTCCCAAGAAGTGCCTGCTTCCCCATGGTGTTTACAATGGTGTAACCTGAGACACCTAACTTCTCTGTCACCTGGCTTTCTTAAAGCTGTATTAGAATCCTCTTAATACATTAGATTGTCCTGCAGAACAAATTATTATTATGATTCATCTTTAGTGTTACATTTTTCAGCTAAGAAGACTTTTAACTTTTTATTATGTTTTCAGATTTGAGATACCTAATATAAATTACAGCCAGATCCTGCAGTAAGATTAATTTATACACAACTTCCAGTTGTACAAAATCCCTGTTGGTATTAATGGGTCTCTCAGCACCAGATCTTATCGCGAATTTGATGGTTAAAGTTGCAACAGATCTAAAAATTTACAGGAAATAGCATTTTATTCTGGCTTGTGGACGGAATTTCATCAGGAGGGGCTGCACACTCATATCTCACTCCAAGCTCTCGCGGGTGACTTTAGGAGAGCACGCTGGGGACAGCAAGGGGACAGGGCCGGCAAAGCCACGGCGTCCCGGCCCGCGGGACTCACGTTCTTCGTCTCGTTGACCTCGTTCCTGCCCCTGCCTATGACCTCGCCGTTGTAGACCAGCAGGCAGCCCACGGGAACCTCCCCTTTCTCCAGCGCCTCCTTAGCCTGCGGGACAGACGGACAGACAGACTCAGGACACGCACAGCACAGCGTTACAGCAGCGGGAGGAGCTTCCGCCGGCCCCTCCCGGCTGCCCCGAGGGCCCCGGGGCTCCCCGAGGTTTCCCCCGCGGGACGGCGGCAGCCCCGGCCCGCACTGACCACGTCGAGCGCCTGGTCCATCCAGGCCAGCAGGGCCGCCTCCCCCGCCTCCGCCATGCCGGGCCCGCCGCTGGTTCCGGGGCAGCGCCGCCGCCGCCTCCGCCCCTTCCGCCGCCGCGGCACCCGAGGGCGGCCGGGCCGGGGCGGGCCGGGCGCGCAGGATGCTCCGGTCGCTCTGGAGTTTCCTGAAGCGGCACAAGAAGAAATGCCTCGTCCTTGGCACCGTCCTTGGCGGTGAGTGCCCGCTCGAGGGGCGGGGGCGGTGGTACGGGGGAAACGCGGTGCCGGCCGTGGGGCCTGGCGGCGGGGCTGCCGCCGGAGCGGCCCCCGCGGAGCTGCCGCCGGGCCCCGGGAGCCCCCGCGGGCTGCAGAGGCGCTGTGCCCCGGGCCGCGGCCGGGGGACACCGCAGTGATCCCGGCCCGGGAGAGCCCGGGCTGTCCCCCGAGGCTGGGAGGCAATCTGCGCGCCGTCCCTGAAGCCCCAAAGCACACGAACCCGGGCTGCCCGGGTGCTCCTGCGGCGGGTGATGGGGTTACTTTGGAACAACGCTGAAGCGCGCAAAGCGTGGGTGATGCTGGTGGTGGTTTTGGGGTGGAGGCTGAAAACCTTCGCTTTTCTTTCATATGTGACTTGTGCCTTGAGGTGAATCGTCAAATATCACAGAATCAATTAGGTTGGAAAAAAGAGCGAGGAGTCCAGCCTTTGACTGAACACCGCCTTGCCAGTTAGACCGTGGCACTCAGTGCCACATCCAGTCCTTCCTTAAACACCTCCAGGGACTGCAACACCACCTCCCTGGGCAGCCCATTCCAATGTCTGATCCCTAATGTCATACCTGAACCTCCCCTGAGCACGTTAAGACTTTGTGCTCTTGTTCTGTCACTTGTTACCTGGGGGAAGAGACCGACCCCACCTGGCTGCAATTTCCTTTCAGGCATGTGTAGAGTGGTAAGGCTCCCCCTGAGCCTACTTTTCTTCAGGCTAAACACCCCCAACAACCCACTCTTTATAGCAGCTTCACCAGCTTAGTTGCCCTTCTCTGGACAAATATAGATCAGTTGCAGACACAAAACTTTCACAGAGAGGATTTGCATTAATTATTCAAGCAATTTCTCCCTTAAGGCTCTTGTTGAACCTGTAGGATGGTTATGGTCTAGTGAGCTCCACCTTCCCTTGAAGTTATTTTTGGGTTGTTTTTAGTTGGAAATAAACTTAAAAGAGCATATTGGATCTGTCTCTCTGTTTAATGATGAAGTGCATAGCTGTGCAGCTGAAGATGAGATACTCCTCAAAAGGCACAGCCATGTCTTTGTGCACTCAGTCTTCAAATGTTCTTGTATCCAGTGTAGATGACACAGAACTGGAACTTGCCTGAGCAGTTGAATGTTATGAGGGCTACAGGGCTTTTGTAGTATATTTTGTCATATTCAGGTGAAGTCCCCTGCAAAGGTGAATTGTATTTACTTCTGGCTCGCTGTGGTTCTTGTGCCGTCTGCATTCTTTCATCATTAATTCCTTCTGGGGTTTTCCAAAGAGTGCCAATTAATCCCTGATAACAGGGATAACAGGCTGGGTGGTGGTTAGGGCAGTACTGGTCAGACTGCTCCTCCAGTTCACCCTCTCACCTGCCGGTTTTGTGGCTCTTTGAGTGCAGCACACTGTCATGTTTACCACCACACTTGCAGCCCACCACGTTAAGTAAACAGATTTGTTTTCACACACCAGGCTGTCACCTGGAAGATGTTCTCCCTCCCCTTCAACTGTGTGTATGAGAGTGGTGGAATAGTAAAAAATCACTTCTCCCACTTTCAGCAGGTAAACATGGATCAATTCCCAAGTGGGAAAGCAGGTATCTGGGCACTTGTAGCTCTCATAGCCTGAAATCTTAAATTCCTCACGCATGAACAGCCTTCTGCCAGCCTGCAAACCAACCTAGCATAACTGAGTTTGCAGTTTTTTCCTTATGATTGGTGTTGTTTATATACAACTCAGTGTCCCTTTCACTAAAATGCTACTGACTGGATGAAGTGCACTTAAAGTAATAATTATAGACTTTTAAAGTAATAATTATAGACATTTAAAGAATTACCAAACCAAACAAAAAACCCCAAAAAACACCAAACAAAAAAAAGCAACCTGAAATGCTCTTCTTCTAATAAGCATGTCAACTTCTGACTGAAAATATTAAACTATGCTATCATTTTCTGCAGCATGGATCAATTATCTATTTCTTCAGGCCATGTAGTATTTGAGGACTGTAGAGAATTGGTTTTTAAGCATTTGAGACTGAAGTAAATCTAGCCTTCCACAAGCAGGTGAACATCATTAGCTGCCACCAGCAGCAACTTTGCACCGTGGTATTTCAAGGGAGGCAGGGAGATGGAGTGAATTACTGCAGAGTGCTGCTTTATAACTGTTCAGCAGCTGAATCTTGAGTGCTTTGGTCATCTTTATAGGTATGGATTAGTTCTTAAAAAACCCTACGAGCTACAATAATGCCACCACCAGTGAATCAGAACTCTGACATCCATGATAGACTCTGCAAAAAATACTGCAGAATCTCGAAAGATGGAATGCAACTTTACACACTGCTTTTAAATGAAGACAGAATATTTGGAAGTGGCTGAATGATTTAAGGAAAGCAGCCAAATCTGCTGATTTAATAGCAGAGCCTGGAATCTACATTTCTGTGGTGTTTTTTTTTTTAAGAGCTGCAGGTGCATATTCCAGGAAGGAGGGTATAACAAGGAAAATGGGACATCTCAAATTTTAGTGATTTTAAGGCCTTAACTGGCACATGGTCAGAGATTAAAGTGAATATGTAATGATTCATTAGACAGTACAGAAGAGTTTTTGCATTGTTACTGATACAGTATTGTATCAGTGTTGTGTTACTGAATTACTGCACCAAAATCAGAGTTGGTTGATAACTTTTCCTCTCTTTATGAAGTGGATTCGATGTGTGTTATCAGTGGCTGTCATTCTTCGTGCAATTTCTCTCAATCCCAACACTACAACAGATTTTACTGCTTATGGAGATACAAATCTCATTAAATAAGAGCTCAAATTGAGGGAAAAAGCAACTGAAAAATATGTGTAACTGTCCCTTAACCACAGAGCTGGGTTGAGAAGGCCTCACCTTAGCAAAGACCCTGTACAAACCCTTTCTTTAGGAGTTCTTTCTTTAACAATATAAAATACTGTGCATGCTAAAAAGACTTAAGTCTCTTCTAGTAAGCAAAATCTAGTGGTCTGGGATCAAACCCACTAGAAATATGGAAAGTAGAAAGCGAGAGAACATGAAGGAGCTGCAAGGACATTAGGTTCACATGTTTATTGGATAGTTTGGTTAAAGTAGTTTTTATCTCAGTGCTCAGAATTCAAGGTAGATTTCAGTAGATATTACAAAATGATTCACCATTGAAATTCTGTTGCTGCAGTGGAAGAACAAGCTCAGGGTGTGTCTGGAATGTATGGTTCTGGTTTCAGTGGTGCATTAATTATTGCTGAATTTAATCTGTTGCAACCTTTGGCTTGCAGAAAAAGCATTTCAGTTCAGAAATCTCTGTGTAGCAGAGAAAGTTGGATTGGTTTGTGAGTAAGCACAGGGGCATTAAATGTGTTCTGGTGATACTCAGTGTTACCAAGAGAATAAGGTTTTAGTGCCTGCATGTTTTAAAGATGGTTTTCAATCACCACAGGACACTTGTATGTCCCTTGATGCATGGCTTGCTTGAACACAAGGACAAACTACAACTTACAGAGCTGTTTGTGTCCTGGAATGATGCAGACTACTGTGTGTCAGCACAATTTCTGTATAATACAATTCTTAAAACTGAAATTTTCCCTTTTTTTTTCCTGAGGTAAGTATGGCAGTGAGGTCAAAGGTTACTTAGGGTTGTAAAAAAGACTTCCTGAAAACTTGATGCCTCCTAATTACTTATCCCATTTTTCTGCTCAGCCCTCCATACCACCTGTGAAGAAAGGCAAGGGCTGATGGAGAGGGCAGCCATAACTTATGTGATGTGAGAAATACCCTGCCTCTTGGAGGCCACTAGAGTGAACATGTAAGAGCCTGCAGATTTCATAAAACTTATTGCATTACTTACATTTAGGTGGGAAGAGACTCTACAGTGCTACAGCCAAAGAGGGATATGGAGACAAATCAGAGTATATTTATCTCAAATCAGAGTGTTGCTTCCACAGGATATAGGTGCTGTAGACCCCAGGGTGCAGCACCAGAGAGCCACTCTCACACATACACACACACACCCCCCTTCTCTCCCCTTCTCCGGTGGGATGAGGGAGAGAATCAGGCCTGACCACTGCTCAGCCGACCACTGCTCAGCAGCCCCCTCCCCTTGTATTCCCCCCTAATTTTACTGCTCAGATGACATCCTGTGATGTGGCGTGTCCCTTTGACCTTCTGGGATCAGCTGTCCTGGCTGTGTCTGCTCCCAACTCCTGACCCCCAGGCTCCTTGCTGGTGGGGTGGTGTGAGAGGCAGAAAAGGCCTTGGCTTTGTGTGAGCCCTGTTCTGCAACTACAAAAACAGCTCTCTACTACCAACACTGTTCCCAGCTACTGCAAAGAAAATTAACTCCATCCCAGCCAAATGCAGCACAGACAGCCAGTGCATATGTAAATACATTTCACTTTCTAGATCAGTTGTAAAACATCAGTTGTGGTTTGAGATCCTTACTGAAGTTCATGTTCTTGAAGGATCTGACATCAAGTGATGGGGTTTTTTTATCACTCATCTGTTTCTGAACCCTCCAAATCAGATGTGTTGGGACTATATTATTTTCTATTGTTCATATTTTGATGAAGAGAGCTAAAAGTTTCCATAGGAATTATCTCCTGCACAGCCTCACTGTTTCTGAATTTTCTTAATTTCTGGTTTTATGTGAAACATATGGGAAGATTCAGCATGAAGTTCCATCTATGCAACAGTTTAGCTCATTAGACATGAATAAATCTTGCTGCTGCAACTTTTTGCAGACCTCCTCTCCTATACTGAGCAGTAAAACTAAGTTATATTAGTTATTATAAAAAGCTTATCTTGGCTTTGCATATTTATAACAAAAGACTTTCAAAATGTCAGCTTAGTTTTTTACAGGT